AGCGCGGAGGCCGAAGGCCTCGTTCTCGCGGTCATTTAAAGACGCGAGCGTGTCGTGCAACGTGGGAGGAGGTGGTGCGCGACGTGGGAGGAGGTCGTGCGTGACTTGGGACGTGTGATGTGGGAGGGTGTCTGGTAGGTACGCACGATCTTCTTCTCTTTTTTTTTTTTAATTTGGTACAGGTCAACATTCAGTGAGTGCACAACATGGATACATGGACTGCTAGAGCCATCTAGAGGGGCAATAACTTCCGATTTTGTTTAACTAAGCTTTAACTTTGTTTGCAATGGATGATGTTTTTTTTTTTTTTTTTTTGTTTTCCCCTTAATGACTTTAATACATGTGTATGTATGCATTTACTTTCATATTTGAATCAGTAAACCTAAAACTGTAAGGTGAACAGTACATTTATGGCTTTATTTTAATTGTAATTTTAATTGTGAATTATACTTGTTATGGGGAAAGGGGTTAGCCTACTAAATTTCCTACTCATCTTGTTTATAATATTTTAGGTAAGGGCAAAAGTTCTTCTGAATAAGATGGGTTTTATAAGAAGCAAGGAATTTGATATGTGAAATGTATGTGATTTTGTAGTTCATATTGTATTTTTGTTTTGTTGCATTCAATATAATCTGAACTAGTAATTTAATTACTTTGGAAGAGTGCACTATAAGTATTTGTTTTATATTATACTGAAGTTTTGGTGAAATGACTAATTGATTGAGAATTAGCATGTATATAGGGAAAGTAAATTTAAATTCCTTATTTAGGTCATGGAGCGTCACAGTATGGTAGCAACAGTTAGATCATATGGGACAACTTCTCGAACGCCACTATATATGGGTTCACCTGCCCTCTCTTGAGGCTCAACTGGTGGCTAGTTGGCGGGTAGCCTGCAGCGAAAATTAAGCGTGATACAAATGCATGATATTAGCATCCTAGTGGCTAGGCAAAGCAGTGGGCTAGTAAATTGCTACAGTTGGCAAAGGAGAAGTGGCAGGAAGTTTCTAAAGGCTCCTCAGAAAGTTACTATCTTATACTCGGCATTTTTATGCACCATTAGTGTTACTCTTTAAAAGTTCGTTAGGGATATTAAGCCCTTATGAACTAGCTCGAGGCTAACCAAGAGGGGGGGCGGTGAATTGGTGTTTTAAAAATTATCAAACAAAATTCAAGATCTAAATCAAATAATTATTCACCAGAAAATAAATTACAAAAATTAAATGCGAAAATATAATTAGAAAGAACACGCCATATTTTATAGTGGTTTGGTCAACTTGGCCTACGTCCACTCTTCGGAGCATCTCCTCCGGGTATTGCACTAAACTTAGTGACTCTCCTTTTGCTCCCATAGCAAGACAGAGAAGCCTGTACAAAAACTCTTTTCCACCAACCCCAGTGAGGCAGAGAACCCAACTCCTTTCGCTTCCTCCTAAAGTAGGTAGAGTACCCAACTCATTTTACTTCCTCCTGAAGTAGGCAGAGAACCCCGATCAATCATTGAAGTAGACCTCTCTAGAACCTCCAAGAAACTAGGGATGACAACTGGGGAAGACGACTCGGATCCTTGCTTGGAGAAATCTTTGTGAACCCCTCGCAAACTCCCCCTCACAAGATCCTCTTTCTCTCTCAAGCTCTCCCTCTCCTCTTGGCTCTCTCATGTCAAGATAGCAGCAAAAGATACTTTCATGAATAAACAATAGATCTTATATAGAAGGTCTTCAAAATAGCACGAAATTGCGACAAATCGATAAAGATCGTTCAGGATGATTGACGGATCGTCCTGTACAATCAGTACAAATTCAGCTCAATCAGCTAGGACGATCTGGGGGAGGCTGGATGATTAAAGGATTTGCTTTTTCTGATCGTCTAGGATGATGGTACATCATCCTATACGACTAGTTCAAAAACATCAAGTATCATCCATACCATCGCTCTGTTCAGCCTGACTTTACCTGTCTGGACGTTGAAAGAATAATTGATTATCCAAGATGATTTCTATATCGTCCAGTACGATTAGATTAAAATGTCAAATATTGTCTAGACCATCGCTCTATTCGGCCAGACTTTACATGTTTGGATGATTAAAAAATAACTGATCGTTCAGGATGATTTATCGATCGTCCTGTATGATTAGTTCAATTCAATACATATCGTTCAGAACATCATTCTGGTCATTCAATAAGAAACTAATGTTTCTTTAACTGATCATCCAGGATGATATGATCGATCAATCAAACCTTAATTGCTTTCTTTAATCATCCGACTAATTTAGGTATAATTGTAATGCATCTTTCAGGACGATGTCATGGATGATGTCAAAAAATAATAACATGCCTAAAAGAGTTGGCATCTGATTCTTTCTGATTTGAGCATATCGTCTAAAATAATGTTAATATCATCCAGGGTGATTTGCTTAATTTTGACTGCCTTAATCAGGATGTCCTAATTAGGGTTTTTATTTTTAATCGATCGTCTAGGATGATTTGGGATCGTCCCATACGATATGATAAAAAAAAAACTCTAAAACAGATAAAATTTTCCCCTTGAGTGTGTGCGTGTGCAAGGTTACTTAGCATAAGAACTCACTTTGTTACATTTGACTCAAGAAAACGTAAAAACACTTGACGTATATCCAATCTTGAGCTGGTTTGATTTGCAATTGACTTTGTGGACCTAAAATGTTAGTAGACAAGGTAGTTGTAGAAAAATAAAAGTATCAGAAATATTTGCTACCATCAAAATTATAATACCTGAATCCATATTTTTCAACTCTTGTTATGTAAATTGAAAGTTCCATAAGAGGTACTTTTCTATCCAAAAAGCTAATAGGAACCTCAATAATCGATCATGTAGAGATCAAATCCTAATAAATTATTCTATCACACATTAAGTAAGAGCCAACACCTTGAACTTCCTCAATGGGTGGCCTTAAAAACTCTCTTGTAGTTAGGTGGATGCTCAGCTCGTTCAAGGTTAATGACACATTTCCCTATAATTAAATTCTAAAAAATAAAATAAAAAATCATTACCGGCCAACTTCCTCCAATATAGGGTCGTAGAAACCTAGCAGCTCGACATGAGGGTGATCTAGCACTCTTACTATATTTCTTATGAGCAAAGCTCACTGCCTCAAGTATGCTACTCATTGTGATAGGAACCTAACGAACTCCCTTTAATATGGGAACTTGCTTAGCATGCTTTTCTTTACAAGAGGTAAATCATTTGAATCTAAAGAAGTAGCTACCTTTATCTTACTTGGCTTATACACCACCACCTTCTTCTTCTTTTCAATGACCTAGAGACTTCTTCTACCTAACTCTATTGTGTTGCATTCCCAGAGGGTTTTTCGATTTGACGTAATTTATAAGATATTACTAATCCATCTCTTAGATAAGGCAAAGGAAATAACAAAGTGTGACCCTATTAGTTCCCCTAGCCTTTATTTATTGCTAAGGTAGTATAGACCTCAAATCAACATCCTTATGAGAATTTTGGATAAATGTGCTCCTTTTTAGGTATTAGTAAAAGCAGAGCTTTTATAATAACTCGTATTTTGACCCAATAAAAAAAATTTAAGGAGTCGTTAGAAATTCAAGTCATAAATCATCTTCATCATAACATAGACATTATAATGATTTAAATTCACTAATTTTTTCATAATTTTTATTCATTGGTGCAAATCCTTAAGAAATTGACGTATATCGGTACAAGTAGGGGTTTAGGACCACCAAATGTCCTTTTTGCAAATCAATTTCACCAAAATTTTTTAAATAAATTGGACTATTTTAGAAATATCATTCTATAAGTTTTGAATCCCTAAAAAAATTATACGAGTTTTATACTAAAAATTAATTAAATTATATAATTATATTAATATTATTTCATTATTTTATTGCAAAAACCTAATCTATTAATAGAACTTTACAAAAGCATTTAATTACATTTTCCTTCATTAATTTTTTGATTAGTTTTAACAGAACCTATAAGAGGAATTATGGGCTCAAGAAAAATGGCACGAATGCACGAATCCTGCTTTGCAACCTTAGGATTCCATTTCCCTTAAGTCAGATTGAAGTTAACCAGATTTCCCCTGAGGGTAGTATCAGGGTTTATAGATCTGGGGTTCTTACTTCCTATGAGCGCAAGCATTGACCAATTGTTCTGACTCACCAACCGTTATCTATTCATTGTTGTTTGATTATTATGGTCAAACTATGATATTTTGTAACTTGTCGCCCGACTATTGTAGACAGAGTATGATCTCCTAATGATCATCACTTTGACTATGATCTATAAATCACAGTCACCTGATTACCATCACTTGACTACAAAATGCTATCCAACCTCATCCCCTTTTGTCAACAATAAATTTGAAGCACACCATTGCTATTAAGATCGATACACGATGTCGACAAAAAACAATGCTTATAAGGTCAATACACACCATCAACACATGTTATCACTTATAAGGTTTGAAGCATGCTATTAACATGAGGGTTGACAATCATTGAATTTATTGCTTGACGCTAACATCGATTAGTAAATTTGTAGACGGCTTTGAAATAAATTTGTAATTCAAAAAGATCTCAAATGATGAAGACTTCTTTTTGATTAAACTGATTTATTTATGCATCAAATTGAGTGCTAAGGAATTGCGGACATCAATTAGTGATGGCCGCTCAATGATGATGACGCGCCACATCACCTGCTGTGCCGCAAAAAGCAAAAACATGACGTGGAGCATCTTGATTCACCTCAGAACGACATCCGATGACCGCAAAAAATAATTTCTCCTATAAAATAAAGAATTTTAGTATTGCATTTGATGATTATAATATAACAATTTAAATAAGAGAAAATCAATAATATCAAAAAAATAATGATAGTTTAAGAAGAAGAAAATCTCTCCTCTTTTCTATTGAAGCGTTTCTTACATAAAAAAATCAGACTTTCTAAAAAATTGTCATGTAACAAACATATCTTTGTCTTCTTCTCCTTCACAATCTCATCAAGCTCACCGCCACCACAACCGTCGCCGCCGCCACTACGAAGCCCACCGCCGTTCTCTCCCCTGCGCTAACAATTTCCACAGGAAACAAACATCCGTTCCTCGAAGGATTCTTCGTCGTGATCATCGCCAAACCCTGGAAATCACAAGCCCTCACATCCTGATCCTGCATCTGAAAATAAATGTTAAAAGCATACGACGCATTTCCCATCCAATCCCCCAAGTGATTACAGGATCCTCCATACGCTAATGGCGTGCAATCAGCTAAGCTACAGGCGTAATCCATGTTTCCGGCGAGCAAACCCAAGTTCTTCGCCTCCGGTTTCAACACACACCACTGTGATTGCTGGTACTCCACCCCTTTAGCCCCTACCAGCATCGCATCCTTCCCCTTGCCGCTGAAATCCATGGCGAATTTAGGCTTGCCATCGTATGTAAACAGGCCCCAATGCCTCTCGAAGTTCCCCGGAACTATGCTTTTCATGTTCTCGTCGATGAGGCTAAAGAGGTAGACTTCCAATGGCCCCGGTCGCATCGGTGTCCCCTTGTTGCTTGCCATCCTCTTCAAGAATCCGTCGTAGAACCTCTTCGCGTTAGCAGCGTCGGCGCTCTTCGCACCGTCGGTCGGCCACCCGACTTCCCCGACGATGATCTTCATGTCGTTGATGCCGATTCTCTTGAGCGCAAAGACGAGCGTGTCGAAATTGGCATCAAACACGTTGGTGTACTGCCTCCCCCCGTCGGTAATGGGTTTCCCACCGCCGTCGAAGAAGGCGAAGTTGATCGGAAAATGGCTGTTTTCATTGAGGCTGAGGAAAGGGTAAATATTGACTACGAACGGCGCGTCGTGGGATTGAAGGAAGAGAGCGATTTGTGTCATTAGATTGCGGATATCAGCGCGGAAGGCGCCGCCGGAGGGCGCGCCGCTTGCAGAGTCATATACATCGGCGTTGTGCGGGACGACGGCTTTGATACGATCTCCGACGCCGGCCTCGTCGAGCGCCTTTTGGATGTTCTTGAGCGCAGGGAAGGTGGAATTCAAGAATTCCCCTTCGTAGCTCGTTAAAAATGGCTCATTTCCGACAACAACATAGCTGATTTTCAGACCGCGATCATGGAGGTAATGGGTGATGTTCTGCTTGACCCAATTCTTCGCGATCTCATAATCTTTGCCCATTGTGGAAAGCTGGTCATTCGGAATGCCGATCATTACGTCAATGCCGGTGTTCGTGAGGGAGGAGAGAGTCCATGGATCGGCGTCGAAGAGCTTCACCTTGGAGATACCGTTATCTTTCAATAACTTGACTGCTATGTTCGGATTCAAAGGGTGAGAGGTTTGGCTGCCCCAATTCACCCCTATTCCGGCCGCCGTTGCGGCCAAAATGGCCACCAAGATGGTGGAGAAGCAGAGGAAGATGGACCGGCGAGGCATGGCGGCCGGCAAGGAGGCGGTGTTTATGCTATGGTTTAGAGAAGAATGAGGTGAAGGTTTTAGTTAGGCTGTGCAAGATCTATTCTGGGACGGGAAATGTGTGGGAAGGAAGGAATGTGATGTGGCGGGAAACCGTTTTCTGTTGTTTTGAGTGTACAGAGTAACGGCTAATTTGTATTTCTATTTTTCAAAATAGAATCAAAGGAGCCTCCATATTATTTTTTTAAATAATTAATGAACAAATTTGAATAAAATGGTTAGTGTTGGTAATCATTGTAATAATTAGTGTAATTTTGGATTCATATGTCATTAGGGTCTTGTTAGCTTATAGATAATTAATAGTATTTGGTGTTTAATTGCTTTTTTTTCTCTTTGAACTATGCCCAATATTCAACTCTAACTATCACGACCGGCTATTGTTGTCACCTCATTGACCAACCGTTCTGACTCGTTAGCTGTTATCTATTCATTGTTGTTTGATTATTATGGTCCAACTATGATATTTTGTATCATGTCAACCGGCTATTGTAGATGAATATGATCTCCTAATGATCATCACTTTGACTATGATCTATAAATCACAGTCACCTGATTACCATCACTTGACTACAAAATGCTATCCAACCTCATCCCCTTTTGTCAACAATAAATTTGAAGCACACCATTGCTATTAAGATCGATACACGATGTCGACAAAAAACAATGCTTATAAGGTCAATACACACCATCAACACATGTTATCACTTATAAGGTTTGAAGCATGCTATTAACATGAGGCTTGACAATCATTGAATTCATTGCTTGACACTAACATCGATTAGTAAATTTGTAGATGGCTTTGAAATAAAACTTGTACTTCAAAAAGATCTCAAATTATGAAGACTTCTTTTTGATTAAACTGATTTTCCTTATGCATCAAATTGAGTGCTAAGAAATGGCAGACGTCAATTAATGATGAGTGTTTAATGATGACGAGTTTCAACCAATGGAGAATATTGTATGATGAATATTAATAGGTGTAAGATAATGATGGTCAATAGGGGGATCTCCAATCACTAAAGCTTTAAATTCATTACGTATTTTTAAGAATTTATATGAATAGCACTCAAAATATTAACATTTACATATGTTATGCATAAACTTTACTATTTATATCTTTAATACTTAAAACATCAAAATAAAGTAAAAGACACCATATGTTAAAATTTCTAACCCTATCTTCAGCTTGCCGAACACGTAGATGTCGTTGCATGCGAGCGCTGCTCTGATTGGACCCATTTATGCCCTTACTATGAGCTCTAGTGAAATTACCTCGCCCAAATATATCAATTCTCTGGCTTGTGAGATCTTGATAATGGCGGTGCTCATATAGATAATTTTCAAATGCTCCATAACAAAGAAGTGAGAATATCACACTAGTGTAAGTAACCGAGGTGGATCTAAGTTATGGCGAGTCCAACAATAGTGATAATGGGCGCAAGGGAAGATATCGACAGGTCCAGATGGTGATAGAGACATACCTAGTGATGTGTTGAGTGAGAGCATTCTAACAAGTTTTAGATGGCATAAATAGTAAAATTTAAATGTAAATGAGAGAGAGAGAGAGAGAGAGGTGTCAATCCTCTTTTTTATTAAAGCTAGAATACTTTGAAAGAGTTATGAGGCCAAGGCCCACCGACGCGGCCTTACTTTAACTGGGCCAACTTTGGCATGGCCGACAACTCTACGCTCAAGTGGGCTAATATTTTGGCAGCCCTAGTTCTGCTTTGGTTATCGGAACCGGCAGCTGCTCTGCTCTGGTGGAGAAATCTGAGGACGGAGCTAGAGAAACGAGAGACCGGAAAACGGAAATATGAGCGGGAGCGGGGCCAAGAAGGTGGTGGAGACGGCGGTGAAGGCAACCAAGGCGATAGACTGGGACGCCATGGCGAAGTTGATAATCTCCGACGAGGCGCGAAAGGAGTTTGCTAATCTCCGCCGTGCCTTTGACGACGTTAACCAGCAGCTGCAAACCAAGTTTAGTCAGGTCAATTTCTTGGCCCGGTATCGGGTTTTTCTTTTGGATGGCTGATTATTCTCTGTGATTTGGGAGGTTTCGTCTTCTTTCCTGCTGTGAATGAATTTTTGTTTGGCGTTCGAATTTGATTGGAATTTAATTAGTTGATGATCGGTAATGGGTGAGGTTTGGGGCTGTTTCCCGTTGGATTGGGCGCTTGATGATACTAATCCTCCCCTTTACATGATTTGGGGATTTGGGAAGTTTTGTTTGTTTTTCCTGGCCCGATTGTGTATGTTTTAGGGTATTCGGATTTGATTGGGATTGTTGATTGGGATGGGGGAAGCTTGAGACCCTTCTTTAATTGCTTGTGAGATCGTAGCTACGGAGAAATTTTTACGTGTAATGTTGTTAAAGTTATTAGTTCAAGGGAGTAAGTAGTTGTGAACAGCAGAAAGGAATTATAAAATTTAGTAAAAAAATATTTCTGTATAGTTAATGCAGCCCTTAATTTAAATTTTCAAGGAAATAGACAATGTTGTACAAAAAGATGAACGAAGGTCGTTAATAAACTCTCATGCATTGTTCTGTGCAACATTGGAAACAATTGTGTAGCTGCCACAACAATACGTATGCACTCTTTTTACAACACATGACTTTACCCATACATTTGTACAAAACTATAAATCAACATTTTGTTTCTGTTCATGACTATATATATATATATATATATATATATATATCGATGCATTCTTTATATGCAGGAAACATTAAAAAAAAAATACATAAAATCTTATAATATAATTTCAATAATTTGATGAACATAGGTAATGAACGAAACTTAAGCCCTAAGAAATTTGGACTTGTTCCACAAATATGTGGAGTGATAGAACAATTGTTGGTCAAGAGATTAACTTTAGGAGATCGTCTTTGATGCAATGGATAAAGTGGTGTTTGACACAGACATTGCGTTTATTTTTTATATGGTGGTAAGAGATGTAGGGGAATTTATTAGGAGTGATTTAAGAGCCTGTGGACTTTGAGACGTGGAAGATCAAAGGATGACCAAGACATATAAGAAGTAGGTTTGGATCTATGTTATTTTATATTTGCTAATTTTGTGAGGAGCTTAAGGGAAATTTATGTTTGGAGTTATGAGGGTATGAGTACTATTTGGCAAGCTATGAATGTTTGGAATAAATATATTGATTTATTTTGGTTGTTTATGCAGAGGTTTTGGTATGGAGTGAAAGGAAGGTCGGTTGGTTGAGTTTGGACAGATTTTGTGTGGCTTGGAAATTTCGTGAATAAACTTGGTGTATGAATTTGTGAATTTAGAGAGAAGTTCCAAAGCATTTAAAGGAGATGTGTGGATTAGAAATACACAAAGAAAGCACACAAATAAAATAAAAATAACAGTTATTAAACCACTCATCAAAGAGGGATCTCCAAGGTCATCAAATAAAGGATAATCAGCCACCATGCTTTCCCTAAATTGAAAGACAAGGCTTCCAAAAAAATTCTATTTCATCTCAATGCCTTTTCCGGTTTTCCCCATAGAGTTCATGGTATCTATAAGCATTACACATAAGTAGAAGATAAGAAATTCAAAGGATAGTCAAGTTACGATAAATTCACCTTTTTTTTAAAAAAATTTTATAACTCCATCTTAAAAATTCACCTTTTTTTTCACTAGACATTTGCAAGAGAATGTACCTTGGTTTATGATTTTTACTGATGATATTCTTCTTGTTGATAAGACTAGAGAGGGAGTTGAAGGTAAACTTGCATTATGGGGGTCAACCTTAGAGTCTAAAGGTTTTCACTTGAGTAGATATAAAATGGAATATATGGAGTGTAATTTTAGTAGTAATAGACCTAGTGAGGGGATTGTGACTTTGGGCGATCAAGTACACGTTTTAGATATCTTGGATCTATTGTTCAGAGTGATGGTGAAATAGATGAGGATATTATCAGCATAATTCAAGTTGGATGGTTGAAGTGGAGGAATGCATCGGGCTTGTTGTGTGATAAAAAAGTACCCCTCAAACTGAAGGGAAAATTCTATAAGATGGTGGTGAGGCCTGCAATGCTTTATGGTGCCAAAGGTTGGCCATTAAAAGAGAAGCATAATACTAAGTTAAGTGTGGTAGAGATGAGGATGCTCAGGTGGATGAGTGGCTTTACCCTTAGAGATAGGATACGAAATGAGCATATACATGAAAAGGTTGGAGTAGCTCCAATAAAAGATAAGATTAGAGAGAGTCGCCTTAGATGGTTTGGTCACCTAAAACGGCAGCCTTCTAATGACCCGATTAGGAAAGTAGAGGTATTAGATTTGACTTATGTTAAGAAAGGTAGAGGCAGACCTAAAAAGACTTGGTTAGAAAATATTAGAAATGATCTTTCTTTATTAGATTTAAACATGAATTTGACTTTTAATATGACACAATGGAGAAAAAAGATTCATGTACCCGACCCCACATAGTGGGATAAAGGCTTAAATGCTTAATGTTGTTGTTGCATCTTAAAAATTCAAAACCCTTAAGGGGTTGTTTGGTTTGAAGTAAAATGGGTGTAAATAGGGGTTGAAACGAGTCGAGCCGAGTCGAGTCAAGTAATTGCACTATCGAGCTCGGCTTGTTAGTCAGAAAGCCGGCTCAAACTCGAGCTCGAGTCGAGCTCAAAAGGAGAGCTCGATATCAAACTCGTCCCACTGTAAATGAGCTCGAGCAGGCTCGCGAGCCTTGACAGTCTGGGTTTGGTTCCGCGTCGTCCGACGGTTCAAGTCCCGCAGCTCGCACGCATAACAGCATTTCGCCTCCGCTTCGTCTGATGGTCCGAGTCCCGCATTGCACACACGAGTTCGTCGGTCTTAGTCCGCCTCCACGTTGTGAGTCGTCCAACAATTTGAGTCCCTCAATCCTGTAGCGAGATTTGATTCGAGCCGGCTCATGAGTTCGCGAGTCGAGCCTCATGAAGCTCGACTCATGAGCTCGATAAGCTCAGTTTGCTAGCCCATAAACGAGTCAAGCTCGAGTCGACTCGTGAGCCGGCTTGGCTCACTTACACCCCTAGATGTAAAGTATTCTAAATGTAGGGGTTTGGAGAATATTGGTGTGTGGTTTGAAGTAAATCAAATGCAGTGTAAAGTTTTAGTGTGTGGTAGATGTATTAAAGTTACCGTTCAACTTAAAAAAAATTATAATACCCATAACTTAAAAAAAAGTTACTTTCTCCACAACAAATTTATAATTAGTCTAACTAATGTGCTATTAATATGATGCAGGATGCAAACATTTGATCAAATTGTTACAGAAGTTGTACTTTGACATTTCAATGAAGTGATGTAACCAGGCTCAATTTACCAAATTGTGAGCCATAGTGAATAAAAGAGGGCTCAATTTACTAGCGACGTGTCCCTGTTCAATTTAATTTAAACAATTTGAAAGTTGCCAAAGCCATGTTTCTCATAAATCTTTAATGAACTTGTGTGTATTAATTTGTTTCTTTTTGCTGTAGTAAATGAATGTTATAATTTTGCTTGATCAACATGACGGTCTGGGCCCACATTCTAAATGCGAGTTTTAAGAACCTTCTTTCTATGAGCACTTTATTAATATGTCAATCTGGAATTGCATTCTCCTGCAATTTTAGTTTTTGATGTCTTTTTGAATGCAAAAGGTGCTTCTGGTTTCTAAATATTGTTTCTTATAATATATAATGTTTTATTTTCTCAAGGAATCTAACGTTTATCCGTTCATGTAATTTTTCATCATTCCTGCACCAGTCCCTTGCCAATCTCGCATATTTATCAATGCAGGTGTCTTTTGTTTTCCGTTAAATATTTGTTTTTCCTTGAATTACAAGAACTAAGATTTTCCTTTCATTCTAAAAAAATAGATTTTATTGATTTTTCAATCAATTTTATGGTCTTGTTTAATTTAGAGGGCGCTTATTTTTGTTTTATGTTTTCCTTGTTAATTGATTGATATGCACATGTTCTTCTTCAAATTGTGTAGGAGCCGGAACCCATTGACTGGGAATACTATAGGAAAGGAATTGGCCCTCGCCTGGTGGATATGTATAAAGAGGCTTATGAGAGTATGTTTTCTGATTCTGCTGTTGAGATTTTTTGTTCTGTATTTTTCCCCGTAACTTTGGTTGTTTATGACTACTAGATAACGGTATTTGAATGCAAAGGCATAATATTATTAAAGAGATTTGGCAGATTTGGCCTTTTAGTAAGTTAAGTTGATATGAATTATTCTTCATATGGAACAACTCAATACATTTCTAGGCAGAACACTTCTGTAGAATTTCTCTTGAGATTTACGACCTTTTGAACTTCATATATAGATATATGTACATTTATGAACTAGCGGAGTGCTGGTAACAGTTAAATATTGCAAGCCTGGGAAGCAATAAACATTAATGATCATCAAAGCTAACTTTACCAGTGATAACACAAGCATGAAACCATTTTTTATATTTTTATGTATATGTGTTTTATTTTCATGAATATAGGCAAGGTTAATAACTATTGATAACATTTAAAGTGGTGAAAATGATTTGTAGTCCCCGTTTATTCTTTGAGGGTCATGATGTCGATCATTGGAATTATTAGAAAGTTCATTCTATAATTTGTAATTATCCAATGCAATACTTAAACGGTTTTAAGCACCACCCATATAACTTGATAATAACACAATTAAAGCATTTTTAATAAGTGGTCATATCTAATAAGATCATCTCATCATCATACCAAATCACGATTCATATGAAACTGAAATCGAATCAGCTAAATCTTTATGGAATGTGAATCTGTAAAATGAACTTGTATGATAAAACTTAAAAAAAGTAATTACAGAAGTAGTGGTTGAAAGCACAATGGGTGAAGAATATTTGCAACATCTATCCTTTTATCACCACTACAGAATAGTGTATTCACCCCTTATTTTATTCATTCTTTAATTTATTCTCTCTATTTTTTTTTTTTCACATTTGTATTAGCATTTTTGTTTTCCCCATACTCAACTTGACTATGAATGGTCACTTTTACTAAACTAACTCTTAGCTTTATTCTAGATAATTGGCCTAATTGCAGTAACATAAAAAGTAGCTTAAAATTTTCATGATATTCTCTAATCATACAATGCTCCTGGGGAACCTCTCTATTTTAATTATTCAAGCTTAACTTAAGAATTTATAACATCATCTATATTATACTTTTATATGATAGATTTAAGATACTAAAACTTATTTTTATTATGAAAGGTGAGCTAGTCACTCCCCTAAGGGGTCAGGAAAGATGAGATGAGACTAAATATCTCAAACACCATGTAGATGAACGACATTACAAGGCCACGCCTAGGCAAGTGCATTGCTTTAAAGTGTCAAGAAGTGAGATGAGCAATTTGCTTTGATTTGAGTGATGCGTGATAATACTCCAAATGTTGAGAGTGAGTTTTTGATGATGAGAATTTGGAATGAGATGATTTGAGAGAGTATTAGAGAACAAGAATTCACCTTTGCAATCAAGTTGATTAATTATAGGTGCAAGAATTTACATTTTAGATTGACAAATCATGAAGATGAAGATAATGAATATAAATATAGTAAGAGATGAAGGGATGCAAATAGTGACACAAATTCGATCATGGATAATGAGAAGATGGGAAATATGTTAGTGAAGATTAGATTATCTTTGGGTCTACACATTACAAACTTGAGTTGTTTGGTTATGCTTGTTAGAAATTATCTATTTAGCAAGTTTTTCAATCTTGTAATAAAATGAAATTTGAAATTTTATTTGCTTATGAAATATAATTTAATATGAGTATAGTCTTATACTGTTCAACACGATTCATCATTAAATAAATTTATTAGCACGATATAACTATTTCTTTATTAGTGCCACCCTCACTTATGGTGTTGCTTAATGCCTTAGGCGTTGGATAACTATATTGCCTTGAGTGCAATTGGACACTTGGTGCTTTAAAAAAATTAAATTTATCTCACTTAAGTATCACTTTGTTTTTTAGTAATACCAATCGATAATCGTTAGCATCACACCCATTAAAATCGTATATCATACATGAAGTTTTTCTTATACTAATCCTAAGCCTCTTTTATCTTATAATCATTTTTTTCATTGCTGTACTTTGTTTTTTTAACAAAGGCTTCACAGATTAGAGATAAGTTATTTGTGAAAACCACACACTTGGGAATCTCATTTTGAAAATTTCTTCTTCGTAAGAATCTTCATAACAACAACAACAACAACATCAAGCCTTTATCCTACTACGTGGGGTCGGCTACATGAATCCTTTTTCTCCATTGTGTCCTATTAAAAGTCAAATTCTCGTTTAAATTTAATAAAGAAAGGTCATTCCTAATATTTTCTAACCAAGTCTTTTTAGGTCTACCCCTACCTTTCTTAACAGAAGTCAAATCAAAATAGTATTAAAAAGTTTAGTAAGCCATGAAATTCCTTCATCTCCTAAGCATTTCCACACCTCTATTGGAATATCATCAGGTCCAACAGTTTTTCCACCCTTCATTTTCTTTAAAGCCTCTCTAACTTCAGTATTACTAATACGCCGAGAAAAATAAAAATCTTTATTTTCATTTAGAGTGCTAAGGTCACTATAGTCAATCTTATTTTAAATATAAAATGATATGAACTAATATTGATTCTTGATGTAATCATACTGTAATTATGACCTCTTTAGTGTGTCCACAGCTATTTTTATTTGTCAATGTTCCATCAAATATATCTTTCATAATTTCAACTTCTCTTTGACATAAATATATTTTCCTTTGTGCACACCATTTCAAAATTTATAGCATCAACCATATGGATTCTTATTAATGAAAGTCATATTAAGATCCTTTCTCTACCATTTATGATTTTTCCTTAATTGCCTTCGCACAAAAACCTCTTCAATTGTGATCTTTTTGGCGCAAAATCAAACTGATTTTTTTTTAATATCAATATATTTTTCTAATTCTATTTCCATTATTCTCTCTCACAACTTTATTGTACCGCTCATATGCCATTATCAAAATCCTTCTTCATTTATTTGGTATTCTATTATCCTTTAAAATTTCACTGAAAAAATCTATTAATGGAACTATGTAATATTGCTCATAACTCTTCAATTATCATTAAGGAAAACATTTGGACTTAAATCTTATGAAATGAGTAAAATGTATTGATAATGGTAGAGTCGAGGATAATTTTTTTTCCTTTTGTTTATTGATCATAATTTGGTCAAAATTGAATTCGCATTCATCTATCTCTTAATAGCTATTTCCATGTCCTGTTTTTTTAAATCTATGTATGAGATATTCATTATATTTTTATTATGCTCAGGAATGATTTCTTCGTTAAAACTCTGTTCTAATGATTTCTTAACTTGTATTGTTCCTTAATGTCCTCATTTTGATCATGACCTTATTTTGGCTGGTTCTATTGCATCTAAATTGATGAAAGCATTTATATCTCTTATATCGTAGTAGCTTATAGGACTTAAAACTGCCTCAACCCAACAAGCTGTTTTTTTAACTGTTTTAGGGCTCAAAACTGCATCAATTTTGCTGCAGTTTTCTGTTGAGGGTTCATTTGTTTGCTTGAATTTATAAAAGACATGTTGGAAAATGGTGAAATTTTCCAAGTCCATTATTTGGTTTGTTATTAGAAATCAACATTGATTTCAAACTCTACAAACATCCAAAAAAATCCATCAAATTCAATGATTTTATATTTACACTCAAAATGAGTGAACAAATCACATTTCTTGTATAAAAATGCTTACCAACTACATGCAATCAATTGAGCCCTGTGTAATGCAGCAAACTGCAGCAAAATGCTGCATTTTCTGTGGAGGACAGCGTTGTTGTTTTATGTGCAGCAAACTTATGTAGTCATAACTGAAAATTCTCTACAAAATAGTGCAATAAAAAATTTGTCTGCAAATTACTGTAATAAAATTTTTGTAATCATCACCTGGTATGAGCCATATTATCTTGTCTTCCTTGTGCTGCTAACCTATATACTTATTCGAAAGAGTCATCATACCTAGTGAGACACAACATATGCTTGGCACAAAGTGTGATTTTTATTTAAACTTTGGCAACTTCATGGCGCCATTTACGGTTACCACAATCAAATAGCTAGAAAAATGAGTAGTAATGTTATAAATCAGTAGTTAGAAAAGAGATGCCGAAAATTATATTGATAACGACAGATTTATGGACGCTGTTTCTTTAGGTTATCATGGAGAAATCAGTCTCCATCAAATCCGCCTCAATTAATTCCACCTTTAATTCTGCCTCCATCATGATTCCATCGAGCTCAGCAATCCTCATCTTCCTTATTCACTTCATTCCACCTTAGTGTTCCATGGGATTATTAGTGTCATCTCATCAATTTGTGGACGACTATAATTATTCTGTAATTTATTATTTCACGAATGTGTATGTTTCCTATTATAAGCTCTCCTTGAATTGTATAAAACTACATGAATGTTGGAATGAAATACTCAACTAGTTCTGTCCAATTCTTGTTATGTTATCAGAGCATTAGGCTTTTTTCTTAGCATTTCTATAACCTGCAGCCTTTATTGCTGCATTATCCAATACTTTCAAATCTTTATTATTGTAGGGCTCTTTTCATTCTTGATATTCTTTTTATTGTGTAGCCGTCATCATTGTGGCCTTATTTCTATCATTCTTTCTCTTTTCCACCAATTACTACCACATGTTTCATTTCAATGGATAACAAAAATGCTCATATTGCTTTTGTTTTAGTTTCGTTTGAATCTGAGACTTGCAACCCAAATCCAAAAGGAGAATTAAAAATCATTCATTCAACATATCATTTGAGTAGAAAAATTACCTCAAGTGGTCGCAATTGGTTCGCACATTTTTAAAAGAAAGAGGAAAATTGGGCTTTTTTACTTGGCAACAAAACAAGGCGATCCCACACTCAATACTTAAGATGAGCATGACTCAATGGTGATGCTATGGTTATGAAACTCTATGGTTTCTGAAATAAGTGGCAACTAAATGTTCCTTCATTCAACAAAAAAAAAGTTTTGGATATGGATTCTAAAGTCCATGATGCAGCCCAAATCTATGAGATCAAAATCAAGATCTTGGTCACAAAGATAGGAGGACGATCCATCAAAATACTCCAATATAGTACTATGCCTTTTGCAAGAGAGGAATCATTATCAATGCATTCAAATGGAGGGCAATAAAGATGCAAGCATATTTAAAAGGTTTGTTGAAAAAAGATAAAATAAAATTTATGATTTTCTTGTTGGGTTAAATGCTGATTTGAATGCTATAAGGATACAAGATCTCTTAAAGAAAGATTTGCCTTTCCTAAATGAGTCATTGCTATCATTTGAATGGAAGAAGAGAGAAAGGAGGCATGATTGCCAATAATCCCACTGAAGATTCAACCCTAATGATAAAGTCTTCCAGCATCAAATAGCCTAATTTAAAATTCTCTTTATTATGAGGACCACAAGCAGCTACAACTAATGTGATGAGGACATCCCACCATGGAAAGTATATCAGAGACATGGCCAACGATCTACGGCCACGATGTCATCTCTTTATTTTTGATTATATGTGTTGTATTTATTTAATTTATGCATTTTTCATTTATGCCCTTACTCGAGGGATTAACTTCTTGTAAGCCCTAGGGGCAATGATGTCTTTTATATTTTCCTTCATGTATTGAATTATTTAAAGTCCCTCCTCTTCTTTGAGAGGACTAATGAAGAATTATTATGAAATTCCTGCAATCTTGTGTTCTTGAGAGAGTTTGAGAGTTTTGGAGAAAATCTCTAGGAGAGGGAATCGGATCACCCACCAGCCGTAGGAAGAGTTCTGGTTGAAATCTCCATGCTAATTCTCCTCTGCTAAAGCTTAGTGATCTAGAGAGTTGAGTGAGGGATTCTTGCATAGTGACTAATCTTATTGTTAGCATAGGAATTTTCGTTGAAAACCTTACATGCATGCAACATTAGAGTAATTGACTGTTTTAGGATCTTAACCTCTATGCATGTGATTTGACATAAGCTTGTTTTATCGCCTTATCGTTTTGTTTTATCATTTAAAATCAATACAAGTTTACTTACTATTGTTCTTTAAAATTTAAGCATGCAAAATCCTAAATCAATATCATCTAAGCATTGTAGTCCTGCATCACAATGAGTATAGTCAGTAAAGATTATATTATGATACATATATTGCAATAAGGCTTGACATACAAAATAAAGATGCTATAAGTTTCATAGAAGAGCACCAAGCAAAAGTTGGACAACATTAGGAAGACTAGCTAAAAATAAAGATGCACATATGTAACATATATTGGAAGAAGATAACACAAAAAAAATCTCCTATTAAGTTCTAGAAAGAAAAAAGACAAAAGGTACTTTGATGTAGGACTAGGATGCTTTAAATGGATGTAATAAGAATTTGCACGATTCCTTGATAAAAATAATTATGATTAAAGCTATTAGCAATTTAAAACGATAAAATAAAACAAGAAATGGGTGCCTACATTTAGGCTAAGCCTTTTGCCAAATGCTTGATTTATTAATATAACGTAGAATATCAATAACATGCAAATTAAGTAGCTTTCAAACAAAATCTCTACGCTAAGAATGAGATTAGAAGCATAGAGACCAAACTCAAGTCCTACGATTACTAGGCTTGGCAGAAATAGATGAACAAGATTTTCATGAATCAATCAAACCACTAGAGCAAGTTAGACAATGAAAATATGAGAGGTGGATTGGTAAACCTTTATCATTGTTGGGTTGCAATCCTCCACTGAAAGGTGCCGAGTTGTTCTTCCACGGCCTCGACAAGGGTATCCAGGATGCGCTACACGTACTCCTCGACGATGTGGTCGATATTAGGATTGACGTCAAAGAAGGTGGAGTGAAGGATGTTAACAAATCCTTGTTCATCGTAGGAGAGGTCGTAATCAAGATTCGAATCGGCCATTCATTGGCTTTTAGAAGAAGGGTGTGTAATCGAAGATCACAATCAATCCTTTGAAGTTCCCACTAGAGAGAAAGAAGTTTCTCTCGAACTTGAAGTGGAGGGATGGAGGTGTGGCCGGTCAAGGGAGGAGGGAGAGGTTTTCCAACAATGCTCTAATTAATTCCTATGATTGGAATTAATTAAAGAAAAGAGGAGGTGGGAAGGGGCGGCGGCAAGAAGGGGACATTAGGGAATTTGTTTCCAAATCTTAAGATTTGATTTTGGAAAGAAATAAGGAGGTGTGGGAGCTTTGGAAATTTCGGCCAAAGAGGGAAAAGGGGAATTAGGAAAAGTTCCCAAGAGAGGATTAGGGGATTTGGAAATAAATCCCAAGGGGTTTAATTAGGGGGGCCGACGGCATCATTGGCTAGGAGAGGATTAGTGGGGGAGATTTGGATTGCTATTTTAGGACTTAGAGATTAGGAAAGTTTTAATTAAATCTCAATTAATTTGAAATTCAAAATGGATTTAATTTAGGAAACTTTCATAAAATAGATTTCTTAAATTAGGAAAGAATTTCAAATTCAAATTAATTTGAAATTTGAAATTTGAAATTAAGCCTTCCCAATTTAAGGGGGATCATTTATGGAAGGTGGTATTCAAAGAGGGGGATTTGAATTTTGGAGGGAGAGAGAGGGGGATAGGGCCTGGTGGGTTGGTGGGGAATTGGTTTGGGATTTCGGTGGGGTGAAGGGAGACGGGTCGGGTGAGGGTGGAAGTGGAGTTGGGGTTAATCGATGATGAGGGGGAGTTATATGGTGGCCGGCGGCTTAAGGAGATGGTGAGGATTTCTTGGCCGGCGGCTAGTTTTGGGAGGAAGGCGGGGAGAAAGAGGTAGGGAAGGTAGAACAATGAATCCGGTCATCTCCAAAGTTGGTGGGTGATCCGACTTCCCTCTTCTAGGGATTTCTCTCTCAAACACTTTCACGATCACAGAACGAAATCAAAGGGAAAGAAAATTCATCATTCATTCATTAACTTTAGAAGAAGAACATAAGGGCTATAAATAGCCTCATACAAAGGACTCAAAATAAAAAAAAGGATGACAATGCCCCTAGGGTTTACATACGACATCCCTTAAGAAAAGGGTAAAACGAGAAAACAAATATAACATAAATAATAAAAACTAAATAACATAATAAGAAAAACAAATACATGAAATGACTCAAAAATACATAGACTCGATCGTGGCCGTAGATTGATGGTCACGTCTTTGATATACTTTCCATGCTCTGATGTCCCCATCATACTTGTTCTATTACAGCTCAAGTATTACATCTTCTCATTCTTTTAAAGTATCATAGGCACCAAATACTGATTTCTAAATTATATAAATAAGTGCTACATATTATATGATCAATGATTCGTATAAATTTATTTAATATACTCACTGTTATAGAAATAATCTAATAATCATTGTCTATGGATCCTTTTTTTTTGGGGGAACTTGTCTATGGATCCTTGACAACCATTGATGGCCAAGGAGACATTCTTATGAATAAATCACTTATGGATCCTATTTTTTAACGTTATGTCCTATCTCTATGCCAATATCGTGTCCATATCATGATGTCCATGTCGTATCCGTACTTCATAGATGAGAAGAAATTCAAACCAATGAAGGTGGAGAACCTAGGAAGAAAGAGTAGTGGAAAACATAGGTCAAGGTAGTGGACATGATAAATGGAAGAAGGAATGCTTAAGTAGTTGTGGCATAACAGTCAATACAGAAGTCATGCTTTAATCTTGTAACAATTAAGGACGCCATCTCCCACTACATTATCGTACATACCAGCATGCTTTGTCACCACTACTTACTATTACCTTTGCGTTGAACCTACAACATCTAGCCTTTACCTAGCCTCGCCTTTGTACATAGAATCAGTCATCATGTGGTTTTCTTTTTCTTTTTTTTAAATGCTCAAATTCCAGCATTAATGGGTAAACATTTTTCACCACAGTTTTTGGCAAATTAATATGTGCGGTCCGGACCGTCCGGAGGCGAATCCGGATGTGCCACATACTTGGATGCACCGAGATAGGGGTGACATGGCGCGTCCAGATTCACCTCCGAATAAATCCGGATGCCACACGTAATAATTTGCCGCAACTTTCTCCTTTTATAGTGATGGATTGCATAGTAGGTTGATGTTGTTTTAGTGCCTCTTGATATATGATAGTTAGAGGGTGGGTCTGAGGTAGTAATTAGGTTGTCTCAATTCTGATCAGGGGGTCATATGTTCAGTAATAAAAACAATTTCTCTGCAGAAGAAGAGGGTAAGGACTGGAAGGTTAAGTACATCAAGCCTCCTCAAACAGTGCTTTGGTGGGAGTTGATTGCTTTGGGTAGGCCCTTGATGTACGATAAGCATTCATCATTTATTTTTTTGAATGAATTCAATAACTTTTAACGTACCATGCTTCACCAATGTACATGTTGCGATGCTCTGCATGTACTAAACAGTTCAACTTATATCATAAGAATCAAGTTAATGTGAAATTCTTTGAAGCACCAGTAAGTATAAAGTTTGGCTTTTGCACAATTCCTTTTTGTGCTATTCAATATTCGATGCCTTCTGTCTATCTATTATTTATTGTTGCATCAATTTCAAGAGTTTTCAAAGTATGTGAAAGTAATGGCTGCAAGATATTCAGTAGAAATATATTGTTTTTTCGCACAAAAATATCTTCTGTTGCTGGTTGATGAATTAATTGGGTAATAAGAATTTCAATGAACGCATCTGAAAATTTACATATTTTTTTATATTTGATTAATTAATTATTTTAAGAATTTGACTTTTAATAGGACACAATGGAGAAAAAGGATTCATGTAGCCGACCCCACGTAGTGGGATAAAGGCTTGATGTTGTTGTGATTATTTAATTATTTTAATTAATGACATCAGTTCAAAAAGAAAGATTTTATTGATTAACCAATTTTTGTTTGGGCCTTTTTGATATCATATGCAATGTGATGCGAGTGGAGTCAATAATTACTAATCGATTTTGTTGAAAGATCATTCGGTAATTTATTGTAGATACCATCAACCACTTATGTGGCATTGGCGATATTTAAAGTGGAGGACTAATTGTGATAGTTATAAATATTTTTGATCTATGACAACGAAAATAGTGATGCAGATATCTTGGATCTAGAGTTAAAATGTTGTTATTCAATATTACTGCGTTAGAGAATATTATGGAGGATTAAAGGTTTGTTTTGTAAAATTATAATTGTGTGAATTATGTGATGAGTCTGAGTGTTGGGCATTATAGAGATCAATGATAGTCCAAATAAATGAGCAAAAATGAGAACATTATGAAGGATGTGGGGGTAAAATTAGGTTGGGTTTATTAGTTTAAAGAGATGGTGGGAGTATAATCTATTGAAAATAACATAGTGAAAACAGGTTTAATTAGTTTGAGCATGCACAATAAATGATTGAAGATGTATTAATTAATAGAGTATATAGATGAAATTAATGAGGAAGAATTATGAAGGATAATGATTGTATTAAGATAATTAAAAGTCTAGTTGATCTCAACATGATGAATGCTGACTGAGGATTTATAAAATCAACCCTAATGCTGAAGATGTTTTTTTTTTAGTGATTTTATTGTGATGGAAAGTGTTTGGTTGAGCTTCCACTTTTAAAATCAACCCTATTGATGACTAATGTTTCGTCAGGCTATTCATGCAATTAACCATTATTTTTGAGCTTCTACTTTTATACAACTAAAGCTGAGGTTTTCTAACTTCAATCTGACAGGTGTTGAGATACCGAAATTCGTTGACACTGTGACTCCACAATACAAGCCCAAGTTCGATGCTCTGGTAAGATTGCCCTTATTCTCTATTTGTTTTTATCCTTGTATATTTTCCTTGGAATTCAGAACTCTTTGGATGGACTGTAAGGTAAGACATCTATATACAAGTAACGTTAGAACAAGAGAAAAAAAAATTGCATTTAAAATTTCTAAACTTCGAGAGAATTGTATTTCAGCTTTGAGCCCTTCGCAAAAATGTAAAGCTTCATTACTTTAATAAAAAAGAAAGTATTTTTCATTTAAAAGTCATCATAAAAGAATGTCAAATCACAACTATCAAATTTATATACATATTATTCAGTTGCAATGAGAGAGAAAGTTTCCTCAAAAGCTTCAAATGAATAAGAGACCTCATTTTAAAATTTGGCCATTTGCAAAATTTAAAATTTTTATTTCTCGAGTGAAAAGAAAATTATTTTTATTTAAATGAACTCATTTCTATAAGCTTTTCAATGAAGATTATGAGAATACAATTGATTTTAATGACCTTAGCAACCTAAATGAAAATAAAGATTTTTGTTTTTATCGTCGTATTAGTAAAATTGAAGTTAGAGATGTTTTAAAGAAAACAAACTGTGGTAAAGCAGTTAGATCTGATGATATTCCGATAGAAGTGTGAAAATGCTTAGGAGATGAATGAATTTTTTTGGCTTACTAAACTTTTTAATATTATTTTGAAGATAAAAAGATACCAGATGATTGAAGGAGTGTGTTCATTCCTATTTTTAAGAATAAAGTTGATACACAATAGTGTGAATTATAGATGGATTAAGTTAATGTGTCATACATTAAAACTATGGGAGAGAGTAATTGAGCATAGGTTACGACATGATACTAATGTTTCTCAAAATCAATCTGGATTTATGTCGGTTAGGTCTACTATAGAAGTCATACATTTATTGAGAGGTTTGTTGGAGAAGTATAGAGAGAATAAGGAGGATCTACATATGATATTTATTGATTTAGAGAAAACATATGATAAAGTTCTAAGCGAAGTTCTCTGGAGAGTTCTAGAAAGGAAGGGAGTTAATAATAGGATATATATTTTGAAGCTATTACTTGTGTTCAAACACAAGTTGGTTTGACCAAGTATTTTCCTATTTCAGTTGGATTACATCAAGGATCAACATTAAGCCCTTATCTTTTTTGCTTTAGTCATGGATTTTCTTACTAGACATTTGCACGAGGATGTACCTTGGTGTATGCTTTTTGGTAATGATATTCTTTTTGTTGATAATACTAGAGAGGGAGTTGAAAAAATTTGAATTATAGAGGTGAACATTAGAGTCTAAAAGGTTTTCGTTCGAGTAGATCTAAAATTGAATACATGAAGTGTAATTTTAATAATAATAGATCTAGTGAGGGGATTGTAACTTTGGGCGATCAAGTCATTAAAAATAGTATATATTTTAGATATATTGGGTCTATTGCTCAAAGTGATGGTGTAATAGAATATTATTAGTTAAATTCAAGTTGGATGATTGAACGGAGAAATGCATCGGGCCGGTTGTGATAGAAAAGTACACTTCAAACTTAAGGGAAAATTTCATAAGATGGCGGTGTACCGGTGCGACTTAAATGCTTTATAGTGCAGAATATTGATCATTAAAAGAGAAGCATAAAATTAAGTTAAGTGTTGTAGAGATGAGGATACTCAGGTGGATGAGTCATGAATGATTTTACTCTTAGATACAGAATGCGTAGCAAGTATACATGTGAAAAGATTGGAGTAGCTCCAGCAATAGATAAGATTAGAGAGTCGCCTTAAGATGGTTTGGTCACATAAAACCTCTATCTTTCGATGACCCGGTTGGAAGTGTAGTGTATTAAATTTTACTTGTGTTAAGAAAGGTATAAGTAAACCTAAAAAGGCTTGTTAGAAAATATAGAAAATGACTTTTTATTAGATTTAAATAAGAAGTTGACTATTTATATGACATAATGACAAAAAAAGATTCATGTAGCCGACCCACATGGTGGGATAAAGGCTTAATGTTGTTGTCATTATTATTGTTGTAAAGTTATCATATAAGATTGCCAAATTGCATTTATCAAATTTTTATGATATTTAATATAATCAATGTATCATGAACTCTTCTAATCATTAGAGTCTTCTTGACTGATTGATATAAAATATCTATTTGATCATTATTTTTTAAGAATTTTTGAAATATTTAAATTAATTTAAATTTATTAAAAAAAGATAATGTCTTCTATCTTTAAAGTCTAAACAACGTGAATGATAGATTTAAAAATAATGCTATTTAATGTATCTTATAATCTATTGTTAATTAATTAGTCTATTCTATTGTTAATTAAATAAAAAAATCTACCTAGTAATTATTAAACAGTTTAAATTAATCTTAGAATTAATTTTAATTATTCTTGAAATTAAAATTAGATACAACTTTAATTATCAAAGTACTTTCAAATATGATTATTTTTAATGGATTGACTTAACTTTTTCTTAAATATATTATAAATATTAATGATTTTAATTTATCATATTATAAAATCAACGTTGCAATTTATCAATTTTATCCTTTTAAAAGAAACCTATATAATGAATTTGAAATTATTACGCATCTAATATGTAAAATATTTACAATATATTGTCACCCTTGTATTGCCAGAGTTTGTATTTTTCATGGCTTTGTAAAGTTGATAACCATCTCTTGTCATCAGTTGGTAGAACTGAAAGAAGCAGAACAAACATCCCTGAAGGAGACTGAAAGGTTGGATAAGGAAATCGCTGAGGTTCAAGAGTTGAAGGTGAGGAACCCTCTACTTACCTGATTTACCATCTATTTTTTTTTTAATTGCACATTATGCTTTCTCTCTTTGCAGCAAAAAATATGCACAATGACTGCTGAGGAATACTTCCAGAAGCATCCAGAACTTAAGAAAAAGTTTGAAGATGAAATCCGTAATGACTACTGGGGATATGGCCCGCAACAGTAATTTTATTCTCTCTGCCTCATTTTACCATTCCATTTACTTAATAAAAATATCTGACACCATATGAAATTTCTAAGTGTTCTGCTATTATCAACTGATTATGGCTATTTGAACTTAACTGCAAAATAATTTCTTAAAAAAGAAAAAAAAATCTTACTTTGAGACTATCAGCCTTTGAATGGTAGCTGTTTAACTTTTCCATAGAACTTGTTATGTGCTTGTTTTCTTCAACATTGAGCCTAGTAATGCTTCATATTTTAAATCATTCTGCTGCTTTGAGTTTGTTCAGTTTTTCATTTTCTTAAGTTTCGTGATTTCTTTTTTCTCAGTTTCTACTTTCTACAGTTTTTCAGTTTCAATGTCGTGCTTACCCAACATGCTAGAAGTGCTTACCCAATATAGAGATGGATGTTTAGCAGGATTGAAAATGCTAAATTAAAGGATAATTATTGTTACATGTTTAAATATTCATGATGGTAGACTAGAGATTTGTTGTATTAGCATTAAACAAAAATGTTGAACGCTTACAAATAGATAAATTATACGAGATATAAGATTTTATGTGTAAAATTCAATAGGGAAAAAACTACGGAGCCCGACCTTGTTGAAGTGATTCTATTAGGCAGTAATATATTACAATGTAGTAGACATTAATTGAGAAGAATGGCTTCCATAGTCTTAAGTAGGAGGTGCTTACACATTATAATATTTATCAAAAGATGATCATTGGTTTATGCTATCGGTTTCCTTAAAGGATGGGAGAACATAGGCCAAGAAGATTGAGCATTAGCCTTAGTAGTGACTATTAACCTTGCTAATGATGGAGAGTATCCACCTAGTTGGTCATTGTGATTGCTGAACTTATTTTCAATTATGGGGCCAACTTTATTGGTGATACGACCTTCCAGCTTTGTTGATAGCTATGGGCATAACCTTCGGCGGTGACATCAAGCATCAGTCTTATTGACGATGGAAGTTGGCCTTAATGGCCGACTTTTAAAACCCTCGAGCTTCAAAATTCTCTCCCTTCGAATTCTCTCTTGGCCTCCTTAGAATATGTTGAATTAGAAGTTTATAGATTTGTGTATAGGGCTTTGGTTAATATTGATTGGAAATCAAAACATTTCATCAGATAGTTCATGTTGATCATTCCTAATCATATAATATTTTTTAAAGATGTTAGTGTTTTAATAATATCAGGATTGGGCTATCTTATGCTCTTTGAATTTGTGTTATCTAGACTTCTATTTTGATTATAACCATATAAGATTCAAAGTACATTTGATTTCTCAAATAGTTTCATAAAGATTCAACTAAAATTTTAAATATTTGGCCTGGATTAAATTGGATTTGGATCAAGGCATTCATAAAATTATTGGATTCGTCTCATCAGAGATGCTGTTTTGACAATAAGTTGATTGAAATTGGAGTTCGGATGTTATCTATAAAAGCTTTTTATTTGAATAGACCCATCGATATCTAAAACTTGATTCAAAATTCACATTTGAGCAAATATAACAATTACATGATGGAAAGCATATAAAATAGGTGAAAATATATTGAGATTTAGATGATTTAGACAAGATTAATGAGTGGAAGAAGATGCATTAGTAAACAACAACAATAACAATAACAACATCAAGTTTTTATCCTACTACATGAGGTCGGCTACATGAATCTTTTTTCTCTATCGTGTCCCGTTAAGAGTCATATTCTCATTTAAATCTAATACAGAAATGTCATTTCTAATATTTTCTAACCAAGTTTTTCGAGGTCTATCTCCATCTTTCTTAACATAAGTCAAATCTAATACATCTATTCTTCTAACCCGTCATTGGAAGTCCGTCGTTTTATGTTATCAAACCATCTAAGGCAACTCTCCCTAATCTTTTCTTCCATTGGAGCTACTCCAACCTTTTCACGTATCTTATCATGTCTCCAAGAATAAAGCCACTAATTTACCTGAGCATCCTCGTCTCTACAACACCTAATATTATGATTCTCTTTTAATGGCCAATATTCTGCACCATAAAACATTGCAGGTCTCACGATCATTTTATAGAATTTTCTCTTAAATTTGAGGGGTACTTTTCTATCACATAACAAGCCCGATGCATTCCTCAACTTTAACCAAGAAGATGCATTATTAAATGATAGATAAAATTAGCTTCAATGTTTATACAATAAAAGCAACGAAAATAAAGATTATAGGTGGATTCGTAAAGTACGATACAAATAGTTGGTGAGAAATTATTAGTGATAATAAGTAGTTGCTGCAGCAGTTCTGTAGATGATGGTGATGAGTTGGGGATTAACAGAAACAGCAAGTTTGCGAGCTTAAGCTATCTATAATTTTATTTTTTATTTTTTAATTTTTTAATCATAATATAATAATATTAAATTAATATGCTAGAATATTATTTTTCCTTGAAATATTAGATCGGTAGAAGAGAAGCCGTACAGCTCAAGACAAAATTTGTATGCAGTTCATATGGATTGCTTCTCATAATTTATTTTTAGGGCTTTTTAGGGGCAAATTTTTTATTATTTATTTTATTTTTAGATTATTATCACACTTTTATTTGATTATTATTTTTTTGGAAGTTCTGGTAGCGGGAATTTATTTTTTGCAATCAGATTTATTAATATGTTGGAACTATAAGAAAGTTAGTCTTATTTTTTCCAAAAAGAATATATTTATGAAACTTACAGTACAACAACAAGCTTTTATCCCACTCTGTGGGGTCGGCTATATGAATCCTTTTTCTCCATTATGTCATGTTAAGGAGAGATTATTGCGTTCGGACACCGGACACAACTTATGTTCGGTACTTCACAGTACTGAGCTTGGTACTGTGAAGTACTGAGTACCGAGCAGTGCTAAGCTTGGTACTGAGCAGTACAATGTAGGAGGTGATGTGACGCATTTTCATTGGACTCCGAACACGTCCGGTGTCCGAACCCAATAATTTGCCCATGTTAAGACTCAAATTTTCATCTAAATCTAATAAAGAAAGATCATTTCTAATATTTTCTAACCAACCCTTTTTGGGTTTACCTCTACTTTTCTTAACACAAGTCAAATTTAATACATCTAATTTCTTAACCGAGTCATCGGAAGACCACCGTTTTATGCGACCAAACCATCTAAGGTGACTCTCTAATCTTATCTTCCATTGGAGCTACCCCAATCTTTTTACGTATATGCTCATTTTGTATCTTGTCTCTAAGAGTAAAGCAACTCATCCACCTGATCATCCTCATCTTTTCTGTAACTTTCAAAATTTATATCCCTCACAATAACTTCATTGCCACTTTTATAAATAGTTGTAGCTGCCCCAATGGATCTTTAGACTTGAGATTCAAAAGTAAAATTAGCCTCTATAGTTTTAAAAGATCATATTAACTTTGATTTCTTATTGAAAAAAATATTTTTTGGAGATAATTATTTGCCCATTTTATGTTATAAGTGTCCTAATCTGCAATTAAGCTTTAAATCATTTTTAGGTTAACAGATATAAATCCAATTTTCAAAGAAATTTAGTCAATTAAATATTTGCCTGAAACGAAATTCATCACTATGAAAATATAAATGAAAATTACTTCTTTTGTAATAAAGTTTGATTAAGAACAATTTCATTTGATTTCACAAACATTAAAAGCTAAATTAGAGCAAAATAATCATTTATTCAACACTTTAAATTGAAACAAAAACATCAATAACATCAAATTTTTATCCCACTATTGATTATATGAATATTTTTTCTTAATTATGTCTTATTAAAAATTAAATTATCATTTAAATATGATAAAAAATGTTATTTCTAATAATTTTTAATTAAATTCTTTTAAATCTATCTCCACCTTTCTTAATATAGGTTAAATCTAATATATCTACTCTTATAATCGGTCAATTGAATGATTAGAAAAGCTTTGCAATGTTTTTCCAAATGGGCTTTAAAGACCAAGAGATATGATTTGATGGATTTCTTCCCATATGGATATTGAATATCAGTACAAATCAGCCAAATTTAAACTACTTTAATGTTTATTCATCTCAATTCATCAAATAAATAAAACAAATTTTTTTATTTGTATTTGACTCATAAATGCAAGAATTTAATTGTACTAAGGGATTGTCCCATTTAAAGTAAAATAAATAAGTATTTCAAATTCAAGAGTTTTAAAGATATTGCTATTTGATATGAAGTAAAAGAAATTCGAAGTAAAAAAATTATAAGTATTTAAAATTCTCTCTCTAGATTACTTTTGGTGTTTTTGAAAATATGCTAGATTTGGCTGAGTTCTAAATACATTGTGACTTCATTGCTACCGTCGTGGTCGGCTCCGCCGCTTGCGACTTGCTATTAACCACCATTCATAGGTCGCTCTGCACGGAGCCAACAATCAATTATCATTTTTGTTGAGTTTTATATTGCATTTATTTATTTATTTTTTCAAGTGAAATTATATCTTGGTATAGAATATTGTATTTCAGTTGTTAATCAGAATTAAAATTAAATTATTATGAGTATTCTTCTATAATTAAAATAGGCTAGAAATGTTGTCCTAACCCATAATAAATGTATAATAAAAGCTTTGTTGTAACATATTAAAGAAATGATATTTATTCCCATTGTATTAGAAGGTACTCTTCACTGAGTTCAAATCAAGGCAGATTTCAGTATATGTGATTATGAGAACAGGCTGTAATGGAGGCCCACTTTTCATTATTATCAAAGTTTTGTCCTTCTCAAGAACAGACAAAGCTGTTATTTTGTTATAGTTTCCAATCATCAATGATAGCTCTTTCATCATACTACTGAAAATGGAGATTGATGTGGTAGAAGAAAAATTATTACGTGCGGAGTTCCTCGGCCATTCACGTGAAGATATTTGAATTTTATTTTCTCTGTTGTACATAAGAGAGAAAAAATTCAGGTATCTTCACGTGATTGGAGTCCGGACGAAAAGTTACAGCCGGATTCTGCATGTAATAATCTCTTGTAGTAGAAGGGATTGTTTTATAGGTAGTAAAATGCATTTAAATTAATTTAATTAAAGTTCTATTATTAGACAACATTATTGTGCTATGAAAATGAACTTCAAATGCTAAAAAAATGATTTGATTTGATAGGTCATGTTGAATTATACGATAAAATCTGCAAAAATTAAAGAAAGATGATTGTTTAAATTGTCATGTTGGGGTAGTTATGTGCTTTGATGTTGGATTTTTGAAAACTTTGATGAGATGTATGATACATA